AGTTGTCTGGGCAAGGGCAGAATGGAAGCAGAGTAGGAGCGCCTTTTCCACCCTGCACGTCCGGTGTGCCCACATGACACAGGGAAGGTGACCTACTTGGGTAACTGAGACTCGAATCTTCCCAATGTTCAGAAGAAGCAGACATTTGGGAAAGCAGAACACCTTATAGATAGCAGAAGCAACAAAGCTGAGGGCAGAGAGTAGGGCCTGGGCGGGGGTTGCCTATGAGAAGGAAACCGCAGATCTGAAGGCCGTCACGCAGCCCAGATCACCCAGGAGCATGTGGCGTGAGGCAAACCCGTGAGACGAATTTCATACTTATGGGATTAGCTGAGCTGTGTTTGATAGGGAAGAAGTCCAGTAATATTTTGATTAATGACTTCCTTGAGGATGAAGCTCTTTTATACAGACAGCTCTATTAGAAAAAACCTCAAGCCAAAATTCCTTCATAAATCATGCAAAAAATGGCTCTCTACACAACAGAAATAGCTCAAGTACAGTCTCTATTTGTCTTTGGTTAGATGCTGATAAATAGGGCTCGTCCTCAGCAAAGTTGTAACAGCTGAACTTTATCTTCAGCTGCATGTCTTTCTGCACCTTTTGTTTGGATATGTAGCCTCCAGGGCCCCTGATTTCAGCCAATGTAGAGAGTCTACTCTCTTTATCTCTCCACTCACTTCGCTTTGGACGCCTTGGGGATGAAGGGGGCACTGCACACTATGACTAGATCATTCCCTTTTTCTCATAATCCTCCCCCAGCCCTGATTCTCTGCTTCCAGGGTTGGAAGCTCACTGAGGGCTGCAGGAGCCCCAGAGAGTGGATGATGCTATGTTGCATCCAATTCTTGTAGGATCCACCGCCAGGATGCTGTTACAGATGTCTGTGGAGCCCCTTTGTCCCTCTTACCTCTCTCCCTGCACCTCTACCAACCTTACCCAGCCCTGACCACACACACACACACACACACACACCATATATATAAACATTAATATAAATACATATAATGTGTCCACATGTGTTTAATAAGCACTCAGTGATTCTTTACATCATGAGTCATTTATCTGATAACCTGGATTATGTTCTTCTGCATTATCTATTTCCAGCTGACATAAAGTGGCACAGATGTGTGACGGGACTCCATTCTCTGTGGGTACCGTGAGGCTCAATGGCCATTGCAGACCACGTGATGTCAATAAATGCAAGGCCAATAACAAACTGCGGTGGCTTCTGCAGTTGGAAAGACCTGAGGTGAATTCGGACTCCTGCTATTCACTAGAAGTAATTTTTGTTGTTGAGGTGAAATTCATACAACATAAAATTAAAGTATACAGCTGAGTAGCATTGTGTACATTCATGGTGTTTGCAAGTATCATCTTTATCAAGATCTAAAACATTTTCTTCATCCCAAGACACAACCTCATACTTTAGGCAGTCACTCCTGGTTTCCTCTCTGTTAAGCCCCTGACAGCAAACAATCTGGTTTCCATCTCTACAGGTTTACCTATTCTGGGTATTTCATGTAAATGGAATCTTAAAAATACATGGCCCTCTGTGTCTGCCTTCTTTCACTTAGCATAATGTTTTCAAGGTTCATTCATGTTGTATCATGAATCAGTATTTCATTCCTTTTTATGACTATGTAATATGTGGTGTGGACACATCACAGTTTATCTGTTCTTCTGTCGATGGACATTTGGGTTGTTTCCAACTTCTGACTCTTCTAAATAGAGTTGCTATGAACATTGGTATGTTAAGTGTTTGATTATCTGTTTTCAATTTTGAGGAACGTAAACCCATGAGTTGAATCACTAGGTCATATATAGTTATTCTGTTTAATGTTTGAGGAACAACCAAACTGTTAGTAAACCAAACCATAGTAGCTGCACCCAGTACACACCCAGCAGCTGTGTACAAGGGTTTCAACTTCACTACATCCTTGTCAACACTGCTATTTCCTCATTTTTTATTATAACTATCATAGTGGACATGAAGTAGTATCTCTTTGTGGTTTTGATTTGCATTTTTCTAGTGACTAATGATGCTGAGCAACTTCTCATGTGTTTGTTGGCCATTTGTATATCTTTTTTTGGAGAAACGTCTATTCAAGTTTTTTGCCCATTTTTAAATTGGGTTGTTCATCTTTTTGTTGTTGAGTTGTAAGAGTTTTTTTTTATGTTCTGGATTCTAGATCCTTTTAAGATGTATGATTTGCAGATTTTTCTCCCATTCTTTAGGTTGTCTTTTAATTTTATTGATAGTAAAAAATATTAAGTATTTTGAACTGTGTAGGTCATATGGTATCTGTCACAAGATCGCCCCAGATACAGTGTGTGTTGGGGGCGGGGGGGTGACACAGGTCTGAGGCAGAGATCAGTGCAAAGGGGGCTACTTAGGAGGATACTTTCTTGAGGGCTTCAGGAATTCTTGGGACTGGGTCTAACTCTGGTTCTATAGTTTTTTGTTGTTGTTGTTGTTTCTGTCTGTCAGTACCTATCAAGAGGAAGTCCTGTAGTTAAGACTGGATGGATGGAATTAATTTTTCTGATTCAGATATAAATCCTCAATGCCCTTGCCACTTCAGTCCATTCTCCACAGGCATCCAGGTTATCTTTCAAAAATGCAAAACTGGGGATCCCCAGGTGGATCATCAGTTTAGTGCCACCTTCAGCCCAGGATGTGATCCTGGAGTCCTGGGATCAAGTCCCATGTCGGGGTCCTTGCATGGAGCCTGCTTCTCCCTCTGCCTGTGTCTCTGCCTCTCTCTCTCTCTCTCTCTCTCTCTCTCTGTCTCTCATGAATAAATAAATAAAATCTTTTAAAAAATGACAAACTGTCCACATCACTTGCATCCATAAGATATTTAGTGGCTCTGTATTGCTGTCAGAGTTGTGTTTATTGATGCCACAGACACATGTCCCAGGGACTATGTTTGATAGTTACATATGTAAGCAGGATGCTGTGGTTTCTGATGGCCAAGTTTGAACTTCTCTATGGTTGTCATTTAAGATACTTTCCATCCGGACCCAACATCATAGTTGTCTCTTTCCCACTCCCTGGAGCATAGTCACATCATTTCCCAAAAATGTCCTCTGTTTTCGTGCCTTTATCTCATTCTCCTTCTCTACTGGGAAAGTCTTAGTTAGAGTGTAAAGTGCAGAATCTGGTGCATTTTTTTCTATGAAACCTTTCCCAATTAGAATGAATTTTCCCCTTTCTGGGATGTCCCAGTATTTACTCAAATTTGACTTCTATATTTTCATGTTTTATTATAATAAACTGGCTCTGTAATCTGTCTAACCCAATATATTATCACATGGCATGAGGACAGAGACCACATCTTTCTCATGCTTCCACTTCCAGGGCCTAAGCAGGGTGCCTAGTACAGTTCACTAAAATTTTGGACAGATTTTTTTTAATTACTTGCAAAACAGAGATACCTCATCTGACTATATCGTGTGGCTATTACAAGGACAAATAATACCACTCCTGTGAAAGCATTTGGAAAATAGAATGCTGTGTAAGTATCGGGTGGCACTATACAACACCATATGTATACATTATAATTTCATACTACTGATTTCTTGCTTCCTGAAAAAGTTCCCAGGTTAGATACTGCGTTGAACAGCAGACACCTACCAATAAACTTTGGGATTGAATCCAGAGGACCTTCAGAGTCGGCCATAGGCAACATTGTCTTTGGTGGCTCATGCCACCCCCCCCTTCCTAATTCTTACCTACCTTTTATTTCAACCCTCAGGGGATAAAGGCATTCATACAATTCCTCTCATTATAGAGGCAATAATGTATTTTTATACTGACATGGTAATATGTTCCTCACAAGTTCTTAAGAAATGGAATGATTTTATTTTATTTAAAGATTTTATTTATTTGAGAGAGAGCATGTGCATGAGCAGAAGAGGCACAGAGTCCCTCTCTGCTCCTTTGCAGGGAGCAAGACATGGGATTTGATCCCAGGACCTCGGGATCATGATCTGAGCCAAAGGCAGAGCTTAACAACTTGAGCCACCAGGTGCCCTTGAACTATTATTTTACATGAAGGAAGGGAACAGTGACAAACCTACAAAATCAATTACCTTTTGATATTGTACTATAATTACATAAGATGTAACCTTTGGGGGAACTTGGGTTGAAGAGTACATGGGTGCTCTCCTACTATCTTTGCAAATGACTGTGACTCTGTAACTATTTAAAAATAAAAGATTAAAAAAAATCATCCATGATGATAGCTTAGTATACATCCTGGGCCACAATAATTTTGTATTGGGAGGTCCTTCCATGTGTGGTCCCTTCATCACCTCCAAAGCAAATGCCTGAGGTCAATGAAAAGGTAGAAAAGTAAAAGGAAGGCCATGCCCAACCACGGTCCACACTGGTGGAGCCTCTAAACCCCTGGCACCCCAGGCCCCTCCTGCTGCCCTTCCATCTCTGCTCCAGTGTCAAGTTCTCAGTGAAGACTTCCTGCACATTCCTGTCTAAAAGGGGAACGCTATCACCCGCCCTGCCCTATCTCCACTTTCCTGCTTTGTGCTTTCCTCATGCACTTACCATAAATAATTTACTATATTGTTTTACTTTTTAATTTCAATGTCTGTCTCCTCCCACTAGAATGTAAATTCCATGATAGCAAAGATTTTTTTTCTTTTTCTTTTTTTCTTTTTTTAATTTACTGTTGTATCCTAATGGCCTAGAGTAGAGTCTGGTATAGAGAATGCACTCAGCTCTTCACTGACTTGTTCAATGAATGCCTCTTTGTAGAAAATAAAATCTTGAAAATAAGCTAGTTCCCCGAGAGAGAAGTGATTCAAATCTGTTCATCCTTATGCAAGAGCAAACTTGACTTTGAAGCTCAGACGTTTTTCCTGTTCATACTTTAAGACATTGCTGATAATATCTGAGAGGAAGGAAGTAGTGCATTGTGCTGGGCCTCTGCATGTAACATTATAAAAATTGTCTTTTTTTTTTTAATAGATCAGCCTCCCAAACGGTTTCCAGAGATGGATTATCTTACTTTCTTCTTGGCTATTCTTCACGTATACAGAGGTAAAGATAATGTCTTCATTAAAAAAAATTTACTTCTATCTTGGTCTTATAGTGCGACATGTTTAGAATTTATAATGCTCTTTAGTTGAGTCCGATAATTTCTCATTTGTTCAGGACGTCAACAAGTTGCAAATGCTCTTATCAGCAGCAGAAACCTTTTTAGACTAAGGGAGAAACTGTTAGCCTTTAGTGTCATCTCCATTTACTATCTTGATGGGTCTTAGAAAGCTTAGAATAAGCTTTAGGTATCCATGTGGTGTCTCAATCATCAAACCTAAGTGAATAAATGTGTTGTTGTGTATTTCAGCTCTATGTGAAGAGATGTTTTGGGACACAACTGTTAAACTTGCTGAAAATATGAGTCTAGAGTGTATATACTCATCACTGGACACCTTAACCCAGATGGAGTGGTTCAAGATCAATACAACAAGCAGAGAGCTTATAGCCATTTTCAGCCCTATTTATGGTGGGGTTGTAAAACAACCCTATACTTACAGGGTTTACCTTTTAAATTCTACTGCGGCTCCTAATGATATGACCCTGTACTTTCATAATGCCTCTGAGGCTGATATTGGCTTCTATTCCTGCTTTCTTCATACTTTCCCACATGGACATTGGGAAAAAGTAATCCAGGTGGTTGCATCAGGTGAGTAAACATTTTATGTACCTTTATCCCCACCTATGACATTTGATTCTTCAAGCCCCAGTAGAACCTACAAAATGCTTTATCATGTTTTTGTGGTATTTTCCAATTTCACTTCTAGATCTTATGATATTATTGTTTTAAAGAAATAATTCTATGAATCAGTTTCATTTTTCTTGACGTGTTGTCGCTTCTGAGTAGAATATGCATCTCAGAAATTTGAATGTAGTAGGAGAAAAGCCCAGGTCTTGTATCATCTAAATAATGACTACAGCCTCGACTAAATTCATGTTGGCAGCATTTGGGTTCAGGACCAGATGCCCCCCTTCTGAGCGTCCTCCCAGTGATGGAGTGCTGCTTCCTCCCGCCAGGCACTCATGCTGGCTTCAAGCTCTGTGTGTTCAGTCCTTTCAGTAACACCAAATCTAGGCTTATTAGGGAATCTGGACAGAGTTCGAGCACTGGCTCCATTTTTTTGCTTCATCCAAGTTCCATAAGAGAGGACCCTGCAGAAACTGCAAGGTGTCATTTCAGGCAGGATCGAATGACCTCCTGGATATTTTCTGTGATGCCTACTAGGGCCTATGGTTTGGTACTTAGTGAGTTAGTCCTTTGAGTAATAGCCACATGGATTGGGTATATGGCATACTGGAAAAACACGACTTTTATAGGCTTTGCTTTTTGTAAAATCTTATGTTAGCTGTTCAGTCCCTCTGCATCTCAGGTTTCTGAATAGTAAACTGAGTTAATAATACCATTCTCTGTGTTGGATGGCTTAGGGGTCATATGGTTAAAGACCTGTAGTCAGGGAGTGATAGATAGTATTATTGTCACTATCATTATTCCCTATGCTTTTGATGCAAAATGACTAATGATGAAATTTTCAGATGTTAGCAATAGTCTAGGGAAGGAAATAGTTTGGAACTGTATGTTTCTTGTCTGGAGTCTCTAAAATTATATTCCAAATGGACATTCAGCAGAACACCTTATGTGACATGTGCTAGAGTGCCTTCTTTTCAACAGATGCATATCATACATAAAAGAACAATTTACTGTAGTACGTAAGGAAAGCAAATTGTCAGGAGGTAAGAAAATTTCCCCTGTGTTAGTTTTCTTTTTCTCTGTAGATGCAGCTAAGCTCCAAGATGGTTTTGTGTATATGACTGAGGCTTACAAAGGGTCTATTACCAAAATCTTTTTAGTGAAATATTTATTGTAGAGTCCGTTTTGCCCCTGACCTCCTCATTCGCTGTTGTGCATAGTCACCTGTTGAGTGCTGTTTCAAGTTTTTCATGTCTGGATGACTTTTCATTAGCCACGCAGATGAAGGAGAGAATTGGCAAGGGCCTTGAAGCAGAGTGAGCTATTCGACACCTGGCCTAAGCCACGAAGGCCAGAGCAAGATGGGATCCCCGGCCCCACCACCCTTCATGTGGCAAGCTCTTGCAGTTTGGATCCCAGATCAGGAATTCTGATTTCTGTCAAAGAACAACCTATTGAAAATAGGTAGAACAATGGTCACCAGGCACAAGGAGGTGGGGAAATGGGGAGCTGTTGTCAAATGGTCCAAATTTGCAGTTAGGTAGGATGATTCCACCTAGAGATCTAATGTACTGCTTGAGGACCACAGTTAATACTGTATTGAATACTGGACCTTTCCCAAGAAAGTAGATTTCAGGTGGTCTCACCACAAAAAAAAAAAAAAGTAACTATATGAGAAGATAAGTAAATTAGCTTGATTATAGTAATCATTTCACTATGTACATATATATTTACCAAATTATTGTATTGTATGCATGCCTTAACTACATACAATTTTAGTTGGAAAAAAATAAAAAGCCAACAAGCAGTTTGAACTCTTCTGAAAATTTGACCTCTATAGAGGGTAGAGCTAAACTCTTGGGAACTAAAGTGTGATTGTCATACCAAGGTAGGATTTTTAGAATCGTATATGAACAATTTTGGCAATATTTCCTACTTTTATTATCCAGATTTATTGCTCCTGTTAAATTCTTGGAGTTGGGCTTTTTCAAACACAACAGTAGGTGTTTCAGTCAGTCACAGTTCAAATACAGGAGCACCTGCCTCTCCACATAGATGAATTCTTCATGGTAGTATTCTCAAGTGTACCTTGTCACTGTTGTTTTTTTGTTGTTGTTTTTTTGTTGTTGTTGTTGTTGTTTTTGATCATTTATATTTTTAAAGAACCGATTGTGGTAATGGGCCAGTGTGAGTATTCCACTCATTTTCCAGATGTGGAGGATTCCCTTTTTGTTTTTTAAATGAAAAATGATAGTGAATTTAAAAAATATAATAGCTGTATTTCAAAGTTAACCTTAAATATACTTAAAGTTTTCTGTGTGTGTTTTATTAGCATCATATCAGGACCTAGAAGTATTGCACTCACATGTAATGTAAAGTGAGAGTCGGTGATCTGTTTAACAACACGTGACTGGAGTTGGAATCCAGAAATCCTAATTTGTGTATTAGGTTTTACAACCTCAAAAGGATGAAGAAATTGAACCACATGCTCTCTAAATATACTTATGTCTCCTCTTTGCTGATAGCTTACTATACATGAGGAACCTGGTCAGTTATCTTCTGATTTAGCCCACTGCCCACTTGGATATGGACATAATATTGATTTTACAGGCGAGGACCGGAAGTGTGGTGAGGTCTAATTATCTGTCCAAGTTCTCAGCCTTTGTATGTGTCCCATTGGATAAAGTTGCTGTTAGGAATGCAAAATGACATCTTGGGGGACACTGAGCTGCAGGAGCCCTCAAATGAGGAGACGTCAACCTTTGTACATCCTTGCCATGCCACCGCCCACCTGGGGCTTTTAGCTGAGAGCTGAAGAGCAAATTGGACATCTTATTCTGGATAAATGGTGCTGTTAATGCAAATTTATGTTAAAATGTGTGTTGACTCCACACAAGCATTTGTCAATTGGTAACTGATTTGGAGAATTTTAAAAATAAGAGGGACTGCATATATTTTACTGCTTCAGGGTTGAAAAGCCACTGAGGTGGCTTGGGAGGTAACCTTTCAAAGGCAGTCCTTTCACAGCAGAGTTCATGGTGGAAGTGAGATCCTGCCAAATACTATGCAACCTGTGTGCCTCTGGCCTTCCTGGCCAGTTAAAGAGGATGTAGTTACACTGATAGAGAGGTTCCCCCGGATGGGTGGCCCACCCACACTACTCTACTACCCATTTCCCTGAGCACCTCCTGTGTGTGATGAAAATGTCATCTTCTCCTCTAATGCTTATGAAACACCATGGCACAGGTAATATGTTCTCATCATGTAGCTGAAGAAAGTGTTCACGGTCATCAACCACCTTGGGGTTCTGAGCTGCCCAGCCTCTGCACTGGGGTGAAACTAGTCGATGCTCATGAAGTGCCAGAAATGAGATGAAGAGGTGCTTGATTTCAGCAGAGTGAACAAGGAGGCTCAAGGATCAAGTTGCACTAGACCTTGACACTTGGAAGGATTTTTTTCTAAGATAGGCAAGTGGGAAGGAGAGAGAGTGGGCAGGGAGGCATCTTAGGGGCACCAGCAGCATAGAGAGGGCTCAAGGAAAGTTTAATGTCCACACAGAAATAGAGCATGGAGCTGTTTGCCTTGGGCCAGAGCTCCAGCACCATGTGGTTCTTGCCCTAGGCTCTGTGGCCCCTCACTGCCATGAGATGGAGCCTGAGAGGAAGAACCAGGGAAGGAACCAGCACCAGCAAAGGAACTCAGCATGTGATGTGCTGGGGTTGCAAGTAAGGTGTTATACAGCAGATTCCATATTGAAAAAGGAAGTTGAAGCCCCCTGGTGCAGCCGAATGTCAGGAAGAGCCTGACAAGTTGGCTCAAATCTTGATGTGCCTCATGGAGTCTGGACTTCACTCTGGGAAGACCATGGGAAGCTACTGAACATTCTTCAGAGGGAGACACATTAATAAACCAATTTTTTTTCACCACCTACAAGATTAAAGTAGTTGTAGCTTATGGGAGGGGAAGAGTTTAAGGTCGGGGTGAACAAAATTTTATGGATTGCAACACTTGTTCACTGCTGGTAGGAATGCTCAATAGTATATCCATTGTGTTATTGGTATTGGTAATATTCAGGAAAGAACAGAACAAGAAGCAGAACCAATAGGATATATATGTATATAGAAAAAGATTTATTACAAGGAATTGGCTCATGTGATTATGGAGACTGGCAAGTGTGGGCCAACAGGCTGGAGTCCCAGGAAAGGCAATGAAGTCAGAAGGCGGTCTGCTGATTTCCCTCTTGTATGGGGAAGCGAGTCTTTTTGCTCTATTCAAAATAATGAGTTTGCCCTTTAACTCAGTAGATGAGGCCCACCCCCTCACTGTAGAAGGCAATCTGCTTACTCACAATTTACCAATTTAAATGTTAATGTCACCCAATACCACCCTACAAATTAACACATGAAATTTACTATTACGTCTATTTCAGAGAATGATATAGCATTAGCCAGTTAAGTAATCTCATATCCTATGACCTAATAATTTCACTCTGTTAAATATCCTAGGGTTTGCCCACATGTAGTAGAAATGCCCTGGAATGTTTATTGCAGTGGTGGTTGTAAGAGCCAAGAATGATGAATGAACGATCACTATTCTCACCAACAGGGACGAATCTTGGGAATATCTTATTGAAAGAAAAAAAAACACATTGTAGAAAAACACGTAAGATATTATTTCCTTCCTTTAAAGTTCAGAAACTTGCAAAATGAATAAAATGTGACTTACAGATATAAACATGTATGGTAAAACTATAAGGAAAAGCAGAGTTCTGAAACATGGACAGAAATTAGGAAGGGTCTTCAAAATTCACAGTTACAGGGTTATTCTTTTACAGGTGTTTTACTTGCCACTTCTCTCAAAACTTATGAAATTTCTTTCAAATCTATTGAATTTCTTATAAAAAACAATGGAAAGGGGCACTATTGTAATTTTTGGATAGTTCAAAGATGATTATCTAAGTT